AATTACTATTGGAAAATGCTTGTCATTCCTCTGTAGCATCTGGTCCCCACTGGACCCTCATCATTTCCTTCACCTGCTCCCCCCACCAACCAAACTGTGCAGCTCTGCAACTGCATCCTGGCCCATCCTCACCGTTCTGACCCCAACCCTCACCTCCTTGTACCCCCAATATGTTTTTCCCAATAAAAAAAATATTTAAAAAAAAGAAAAAAAAAGAATTGATTGTGTTAGTTCATCAATTACAATAACTATCATAGACTACAAGCTAAGAAAAAGATAATAGTATTAAAAACTAAGGGAAAATTGAACATAATATGAAATGCCATATAAACTTCATTTTATGCCAGATATCATACCAAAAAAGTAGCAAAAATTTAACCAACTCTATAAAATCAATTTTAACAATAAAGTAAAAAATAAAATTTAAGGAGACTATAAAAGTATCATGGAAAACTTATAAAATATATTCCTCGCTAAAATCTTAGTAAGTAAACTAACAAAGAATGTGAGAAAGTTCTCATATAAGAAAATTCTGAAATACATGAGCATATGGAAAATACTGCTTTGCTTGTGTTTAAAGAAATATAAATTAAACCAAAATGAAGGTGTATTTTTAAACTACTAAAGCAGTAATGGAAAAATGTATATATATCTTCTAGGTGACTAGAGTTTGATGAAATGCTTACTAGTATATTTGTTCTAGAGAGAAATTGACAGTATTTATCCCACACTCGAAGCAGCTGTATCCCATTTGCATTATTTGGGTTCACAGGAAGCATATATAAAAGTTGGGTTAGGGATAGAAGAGATTTACAAGACAGGGAGGGCAGAATAAAAACTATGGCAGGGGGAAGACTTGGGCTGCAACAATTTCTAAGAAAGGTTTGACTTTTCTTAGACCTTTCTCTTGGAAATCTCTTAGGGCAAAGTATTCTCTTGGGGAATCTGTGTACTAGGCCGTTGGTGGGAGCATCCTGAAGGAAGCACGTGCTTGGTAAAAATGCTAGCGGATGAACAGTGGAAGAGCAGAGAACATCAACCCTTGTTCTTCCCATGAAGTAATGTTTTTACATGACTGTTGCACCATCCCAGTCAGTAGCATTACTCTTCAAAGACTATTTCAAAGAAATAGAAAAAGAAAAAACAAACAAACAAACAACCTGTATGTACAAATTGTATTGTTGTTATTGTTAATTGCCTTCGAGTTGAGCATGACTTATGGTGACACTATGAACAAAAGGTCTGAAGCCTTTTTATAACTGTCGATATTTATCAAAGTTCATAGAATTTCCAGAGGCATGTTGTTTAGGAAGTGGATGCCACTCTTGCTTCCAAACAAATTGTATTTACCATAGTATAAATTTAATATTAGCATGTTGTTGTCATTGTTAGGTCTCACTAAGCCGGTTCTGACTTAAAACAACCCTATGTAAGGGAATGTCCGTGGCCTAGCCCAGAGAGAATTGTACTGCTGACCAGAAGCTGTGGCACTAGCTGTTCTGAGGAAGAAAGATATATTCTCTTCTCCCATGTAATTTACAGCATCAGAAAACCAATGGAAAGTCCAGTCTTTTTTTCTTTTTTTTTTAGGAAAATAATTTAATTGTGTCTTTAACAAAAGTTTACAGAAAAGTTAGATTTTCATTCATTGCTGCACATTTTAACCCTTTCTCTGTTGCTTCCCCTCCCCCCCAGTTCACTTTGATTATTTCAATTATTCATTCATTGTTGTACTGTTACTTCCCTTTCCTCTCCCTCCAGTTCTCTTTGTAATTTACCTCTTATTCTGGACTGTTGTCTTACATATAATGCCTAATCATATATTCCTTTTAAACAGTCCTTTTCTTCATTTGTTCCAGTGAAATGTTCATTATCTATCAAATGTTCTGACTGACATCAATGAGTCTTTTGGATTATATAATAATAGAACAAAAACAGTGGTGGTACTGGGTCATCCTCACAGTCCCTGCTGTCTTGAGCCCACCCACTGTTGCACCCACCATGACAGTCTATCTCATTGATGGTCTTGCTGACTGTTTCCTTTACCAAACATGATGTCCTTCCCCAAGGAATAGCTCCTTCTGATAACATGCCCAAAATGTATGAGAGGATATTTAACCATCCTTGTGCCTAAGGAGCATTATGGTTATAATTCTTTGATATATGAAATATTCTCCACTGACAGTGCAATACAAAGGCATCAATTCTTCTGAGGTCTTCCTTATTCTTTGTCTAACTTCATGCATATGTGTGAAGCAATTGAAAATACCATGGCTTCAGTGAGGAATATTTTAGGCCTTGAAATGATATCCTTGCTCTTTAGCATTTTAAAGAGATCCTTTGAAGCAAATTTGCCAAGTACAATGAACTATCTGATCTCTTGTCTGTTGCTTGGTTTATAGTGTAGTTGAAAAAAAGAAAAAGTAAAAATGTAGACTTTTGCTGCCATTCAAATGAAAAACATAACCAAGAACTGAATACACAATCTGGCTATGACCCTGTCATCATTAAGTTATCTACATATCTAAACAATGAGGAAAATTGGAGAAGGAACATGAAAAGAAATGTTAGTTGCTGACTTTGGATTTGGAGTAATTGCTTGCTTTTCATTACTAGGATTCTTTTATCCATTACATTTTAAAGATATTCAATCTATGAAATAAGATATCATCCTTGTTTTTTCATACCTTGAGTTCATAGCCAGGATTATGGCTTGGTTACTTAACAGTCCTGCATACGTGTCCACTAGGCTGATAGCCACATAATTATGTAAGTGCTGAGGAAAGAAGAGAGTCAATGATTGCAGACCCATAAACTCACAGTATCATTTGCAATTCTTCCTTTTCCAGAGACTAAAGGTAACCAAATAGGGCAAGAAAATAAGCCTGAGTTAATAGAAGTGTTGAAAGCAGGCATATTGCTATTTAAACTCAGGATAGCATATTGGCTTAAATGGTGACTTTGTATAAACAGCTATTATTAGTATTTCCAGAAAGAATTCTAGAGACGGACTCCTTTCCAAAGGGTCTTTTTAAGAGTCACTTACCTCCCCTTGTAGAATATGAACTGTCTGCAGCTCACTGCACAGTTGTCTAAAATATTATTTAGCCTTATATTTATCATACACGGGATTTCACAAAAAATTCTCAGTTCTTTGTAGAAGAAGCTGGAGAAATGGGAAAAGCCCACTGGAATAGTCTCCTTCCTTCTGTGTGCCCCAGTCATATTCCATACAAACCTGTGTTGCTATATTCGTAAATCCTCAAGTTCTGCTTCTCTTTTGGGTACCACTAAATGATAATGAGTTGCTAGGTAGTGCAAATGGTTAACACTTGGCTGCTAACCAAAAGTCTCCTGTTTCAAGGCCACCCAGAGACATTGGAAGAAAAGCATCATGGTCTATTTCTGAAAAATCAGCCACTGGAAACATTAGTGGAGCACAGTTTATTCTGACACACATGGGATCCCCATTATTTGAAATTTTAAATCGATTGAACCACAATAGTTTGATTTATATAACAATGATACTTTGAAAGAGAGTTATTCCCGCCAATAAGCAGGCAAATGCCTGCAACTAATTATTCTTCATTCTAGATGGGGGGGAAAGGTTCTTTTTTTTGTTTGTTTGTTTGCTGTCTGCTGTTCCTTTGTCTCCAGCCTCCAGTCTCGAGCACTCCATGAGACATACATTCTGCCTCTTTAGTTTTTGAAAGTTGTCCCTGCTGGTTGGGTATTATGCCTGACTGTTGAGTAAGAGAAACATCCTGATTAAACTTCTGCACTACAAAATGCCATTTGCCCACGAGGCATGAACATCTGCTACAACCTTCCTCTGAAACATCGCAATAAATATTCTCCAACATTCTCTAGGCTGTTTTCAGACTAAGTGGTACAAAGAGTCTTTTCTCCTTTCTCTTAAATATTTATATTTGTTTAGATCACCCCAAACAAGATTTTACTTAACCTTGAGAGAACAATTCTCTATTGTGTTGCTAGCTAGCATATTGCACGTTGGTACTACTTAAGAAAACCAATGGCTGTTGAGTTCATTTAAACACTCATTAACTTCATGTTTGTCAGTGTAAAAATGCACTGCACAGAATTTCAGTGTCAGATTTTTTTCAGAAAGGAATTATAAAGTCTTTCTTCAGAGGTGCTTCTGGGTGGATTCAAACTGACAAATTTTAAATATCTGCTAAGCATGTTAGCCATTTGTTCCACTGAGGTACAACTTTTAGTATTATTTCTTATTGTTATGTGCCATCAGACCAAAACCAACTCATAGGTGACCTTTCAGTGAGTTATCAGAGGTCAAAAGTCACAAAGAAGGAGATTGTCCATCTTTGTCCCATGCATTATTAGAAAACACAAAATTATCCATGTGGCTGACAATTCTAACTCTATAATCTGAAGCTTTACAGTGATTAGTGTATCTTGGTTGAAGACATTTTCTTCTTTGTGATTTTCATTCCATTTGTTCAGAAATCCACTGGTCCCCTTTCCTTGAGGTGGCTCACTGAACAATCTGTTTATAGATGATGAGCTTGAATGGTTTAGTGGTAAGGGGTTTAGTTGCCCACTCTAAGGCACACAGTTCAAATCCACGAGGTGTTCTAAGGGGGAAATGTGGAAGATCTCCTTCCATGCAACTTATTGTCTCTGAAAATCCACTGGAAGGCCAGCTATGAATTGATTCCATCTCAGTAGTACCTAGCAACAACAGTAACTGAACATTCTGTCTGTAGGTAAGTGATGGCCTTCTGCAGCTATTGCCTCAGTAGGAGCTTTCTCAAAGACTAGCTTCTATCTAGCCTTGAAACCTTAGAAATCAATTTGTCAGCACTTAATAATATTTTAAATTACTTTGGTGTCCAATATTGGCAGTACATTCAGAGCTGGGAAAATATTGATTTTGCTTCCTAAGCCATATACTGAGAGATGTTGATTTACTAGTTCTATATTTTGGATCAAACATTAAGAATTTTAAAATAGATTCCCAAGTAATTCTGATGTAACTATATTGAGAACCACCCAAAAGTTTGTGGTTCAAATCCACCATTTGCTTCTTGGAAGAAATATGAGCAATTTCCTCCCATGAGATTTATAGCCTCTGAAAACCCACTGGAGATTCAGCTATGAGTAGTTTCCAACTCAATGACAATGAGGGATGTTTTTGCATGTGAAACACTTCCACTTAGTTCTAGAACGTGTGCACTAATCAATTGTCATATCATTGATCAGTCATAATATAGACCTCTTGCTCCTACTCATTGGACAATGTATTTTATTTTTATGTAGGTACCTGTATACTGTAAAAAAAAAAATAGCTACTAACCAAAAGTTTGGTGGTTTGAATTAACCCAGCACTGTCTGGCAATCCACTTCCATATGACCATGACCATTGAAAATCTGAAAGTGTGTAATTCTATTCTGATACATATAAAGTCCCCATGAGTCAAACTCAACAGGTCATAGGTAGGGTTTCTTTTCAAGGAGTCAAAAACTACAACTCTCTTACCAGATTTTCACTATGTCCATGTTACTATCTTTTTGCTGATTCACTGATTTAGAGCATATCATAGACATGTATTAACTTACATATAAGAACTAATACCTTTAAATCGTGATGTTGGTTGTGGATATAAAATACAACACAGATTACCAAAAGAGTAAACAAGTCTGCTTTGGAAGAAGTACAGGCAGAGTACCTCTTTGAAGCAAGGATCATGAGAGCTTATTTCACACACTTTTGGACATATTATCAGAAGGGACCAGCCCTTGGACTGGTCATCATACTTGGAAAAGTAAAGGATCAGTAAAAGAGAAGAAGACACTAATGGATAGACTCAGGAACAATAGTATTCCATATTAGCATCACTTGATAAGATTGTTAATATTATAATAAGCACAACAGAGATTATGAGGATAGTGAAGGGTCAATGAAGGCTTCCTTCTGTTGTACTTAAGATTGTTTTGGGTTGAAAACAGCTCAATGGAACAAAACAATAATTCTTTTATGTGTCATTAATACTTATTTAGGTGTCTTGTTGTTGTTGTTGTTAAGTGATGTCGAGTCGCAGGCAACTCATAGCAACCATATGAAGGAGAGTCCTCAATGCTTGGATGTCTCTCACCCTCTCTCCAGGCTCATAGGCTAGGTGGCTTAGTGGTAAGGAATTGTGTTGACCATGCAAAGGTACATGATTTAAATCCACCAGCTGTTCCACAGGAGAAAGAGAGGAAATCTCCTCCTGTGCTGATTTACTGCCCCTAAAAACCTTCTGGAAGGTCAGCTATGGGTTGATTCCAACTCAATGGTCTAACAACAAAAACCACTATAACAGCAATGATTATTTAAGGAATTCTGGTGGCATAGTCCATAGTGACTTTCACTGCTAATTAAAGGACTCTGTATCTCCAGTGGTTCAAATTCTCAAGTAGCTTCTTAGGAGGAAGATGAACCATCTCTACTTGTCATGATTTACAGCCTAAGAGACCCAATTGACGGTCTCTAAGAGTCAGAATCAATTCAATAGCAGTGAGAGAATATTTATTGAATGTCAAAAGCCATGTACTCACTGATTAGCAGCAAGGGTTGGTTTACACACATGTCACTTCTACAGCAGTGTCAGTGTATGGGCTAACGATTTTGTGTATGGATTTCATATGCATTCTCTGGCCTTTTACTATTGATTCCTAAGTGCCTTCAAAAGGGTGGTTTGATTATCCTGACTCTAATTTCTGTTAGCCTACTAAATTTCTTTTTGTCTCATCTTTAATTACTCATCAAACACTATAGAAGAAGGCCTGTTCATGTAATGGTTAAATGCTTATATGCTAATTGGAAGGTTTATGGTTCAAGTCCACTAATCAACTCAACTTATTGCCATTAAATCAGAACTGACTCATGAATGATCCTTCAGTGGATGTTCAGAGCCTATACATTCACTGGAGAGGAGATTACTCATCTTTCTCCTGCAGAGCAGCTGGTGGATTTGAACTGCCTGCCTTTGGGTTAGCAGTACAATGTCTCACCCATTAGGACACCAGCAGTCCAAGGGGAAAAAAATCTTGGTAATCTTTGTTCACAAGGATTTGAATCTAGGGGACACTCTGAGGCAGTTCAGTGGTGCCTTATATGATTGTTATTGTTTGACTTGGTGGCACACAACAGCAACGGATCACTATGGGTCTTCACAGGAAATCTACAGTGGATGATCAAATGGTCAGAATCCTAGAAGTCTGTGCTTTTGTGATATATTTCATAATGTTCAGTTTCAAACCAGTCTGGTAAAGCTTAAGCATCTATTTATACCAATGTTTTTGGCTTCTTTTTCTAAGCCAACCATCTGCTTTTTATATACATTTTATATCATTGACATATTTGTTCAATATCTCTTGTCATTCTTGGCTGGAATAATTGGAACTCTGCCAAGTTTAAACGTCAAATCGCAGATGTTGGAAATCATATAAGTAGAACGTGTGTTTCTGATATCACCTTAGCCTAGGGGAGAAAGAGAGTCATAAAAAGAATAATTTTTTTCTGAGGAAATTTAAACTCTCCTTGAGTAATTCCCAAGCTGTCAAAGGAGGTCCTCTAGGGTACAGTGTCAGTCTTCACTTTTTCATCTCTAATTTGATTATTAGAACATCACCAATCTTTGACAACAGTAAAATATCAAAACTGTAGAAAGATAAGTCATCTAAACTGAAGGCTGGCGTGTTCAGTGTCCTTACTCATAAGACTTCTTTCTTATAGCACAATATCTTACTCTGGTAAGTAAGGACTGGAGTCTTGAAAGTTAATGAGTG